AGCGTAATTGTTAATTTTTTTCCAGACTGTCGCACACACAAACACACACGCATATATATATATATATATATATATATATATATATATGGGGGAGGGGCGCCAAACTGAAAGTTCGCCCCGGGCGCCGGGAGGGGTCGCTACGCCTCTGTATACATGTGTAGTAATTGAGTAGACCTAGTGATAGACTGTGGCCCTAGTGATAGACTGTGGACCTAGTGATAGACTGTGGACCTAGTGATAGACTGTGGACCTAGCGATAGACTGTGGACCTAGTGATAGACTGTGGACCTAGTGATAGACTGTGGACCTAGTGATAGACTGTGGACCTAGTGATAGACTGTGGACCTAGTGATAGACTGTGGACCTAGTGATAGACTGTGGACCTAGTGATAGACTGTGGACCTAGTCTTGTGATAGACTGTGGACCTAGTCCTGTTATAGACTGTGGACCTGTGGACCTTGTGATAGACTGTGGACCTAGTGATAGACTGTGGACCTAGTGATAGACTGTGGACCTAGTGATAGACTGTGGACCTGTGAACCTTGTGATAGACTGTGGACCTAGTGATAGACTGTGGACCTAGTGATAGACTGTGGACCTAGTGATAGACTGTGGACCTAGTGATAGACTGTGGACCTAGTGATAGACTGTGAACCTAGTGATAGACTGTGGACCTAGTGATAGATTGTGGACCTAGTCCTGTTATAGACTGTGGACCTGTGGACCTTGTGATAGACTGTGGACCTAGTGATAGATTGTGGACCTAGTGATAGACTGTGAACCTAGTGATAGACTGTCGACCTGTGAACCTTGTGATAGACTGTGGACCTAGTGATAGACTGTGGACCTAGTGATAGACTGTGGACCTATTGATAGACTGTGGACCCAGTGATAGACTGTGGACCTAGTGATAGACTGTGGACCTAGTGATAGACTGTGGACCTTGTGATAGACTGTGGATCTAGTGATAGACTGTGGACCTAGTGATAGACTGTGGACCTTGTGATAGACTGTGGACCTAGTGATAGACTGTGGGCCGAGTGATAGACTGTGGACCTAGTGATAGACTGTGGTCCTAGTGATAGATTGTGGACCTAGTGATAGACTGTGGGCCTAGTGATAGACTGTGGACCTAGTGATAGACTGTGGACCTAGTGATAGACTGTGGAATTAGTGACAGACTGTGGACCTAGTAATAGACTGTGGACCTAGTGATAGACTGTGGACCTAGTGATAGACTGTGGACCTAGTGATAGACTGTGGACCTAGTGATAGACTGTGGACCTAGTGATAGACTGTGGACCTAGTCTTGTGATAGACTGTGGACCTAGTCCTGTTATAGACTGTGGACCTGTGGACCTTGCGATAGACTGTGGACCTAGTGATAGACTGTGGACCTAGTGATAGACTGTGGACATAGTGATAGACTGTGGACCTTGTGATAGACTGTGGACCTAGTGATAGACTGTGGACCTAGTGATAGACTGTGGACCTAGTGATAGACTGTGGACCTAGTGATAGACTGTGGACCTAGTCCTGTGATAGACTGTGGACCTGTGGACCTTGTGATAGACTGTGGACCTAGTGATAGATTGTGGACCTAGTGATAGACTGTGAACCTAGTGATAGACTGTGGACCTGTGAACCTTGTGATAGACTGTGGACCTAGTGATAGACTGTGGACCTAGTGATAGACTGTGGACCTAGTGATAGACTGTGGACCTAGTGATAGACTGTGGACCTAGTGATAGACTGTGAACCTTGTGATAGACCGTGAACCTTGTGATAGACTGTGGACCTAGTCCTGTTATAGACTGTGGACCTGTGGACCTTGTGATAGACTGTGGACCTAGTGATAGATTGTGGACCTAGTCCTGTTATAGACTGTGGACCTGTGGACCTTGTGATAGACTGTGGACCTAGTGATAGACTGTGGACCTAGTGATAGACTGTGGACCTAGTGATAGACTGTGGACCTAGTGATAGACTGTGGACCTAGTGATAGACTGTGAACCTTGTGATAGACTGTGAACCTTGTGATAGACTGTGGACCTAGTGATAGACTGTGGACCTAGTGATAGACTGTGGGCCTAGTTATAGACTGTGGACCTAGTGATAGACTGTGGACCTAGTGATAGATTGTGGACCTGGTGATAGACTGTGGGCCTAGTGATAGACTGTGGACCTAGTGATAGACTGTGGACCTAGTGATAGACTGTGGACCTAGTGATAGACTGTGGACCTAGTGATAGACTGTGGACCTAGTAATAGACTGTGGGCCTAGTGATAGACTGTGGACCTAGTGATAGACTGTGGACCTAGTGATAGACTGTGGACCTAGTGATAGACTGTGGACCTTGTGATAGACTGTGGACCTAGTGATAGACTGTGGGCCTAGTGATAGACTGTGGACCTAGTGATAGACTGTGGACCTAGTGATAGATTGTGGACCTAGTGATAGACTGTGGGCCTAGTGATAGACTGTGGGCCTAGTGATAGACTGTGGACCTAGTGATAGACTGTGGACCTAGTGATAGACTGTGGACCTAGTGATAGACTGTGGACCTAGTGATAGATTGTGGACCTAGAGATAGACTGTGGACCTAGTGATAGACTGTGGACCTAGTGATAGACTGTGGACCTAGTGATAGACTGTGGACCTAGTGATAGACTGTGGACCTAGTCTTGTGATAGACTGTGGACCTAGTCCTGTTATAGACTGTGGACCTGTGGACCTTGCGATAGACTGTGGACCTAGTGATAGACTGTGGACCTAGTGATAGACTGTGGACATAGTGATAGACTGTGGACCTTGTGATAGACTGTGGACCTAGTGATAGACTGTGGACCTAGTGATAGACTGTGGACCTAGTGATAGACTGTGGACCTAGTGATAGACTGTGGACCTAGTCCTGTGATAGACTGTGGACCTGTGGACCTTGTGATAGACTGTGGACCTAGTGATAGATTGTGGACCTAGTGATAGACTGTGAACCTAGTGATAGACTGTGGACCTGTGAACCTTGTGATAGACTGTGGACCTAGTGATAGACTGTGGACCTAGTGATAGACTGTGGACCTAGTGATAGACTGTGGACCTAGTGATAGACTGTGGACCTAGTGATAGACTGTGAACCTTGTGATAGACCGTGAACCTTGTGATAGACTGTGGACCTAGTCCTGTTATAGACTGTGGACCTGTGGACCTTGTGATAGACTGTGGACCTAGTGATAGATTGTGGACCTAGTCCTGTTATAGACTGTGGACCTGTGGACCTTGTGATAGACTGTGGACCTAGTGATAGACTGTGGACCTAGTGATAGACTGTGGACCTAGTGATAGACTGTGGACCTAGTGATAGACTGTGGACCTAGTGATAGACTGTGAACCTTGTGATAGACTGTGAACCTTGTGATAGACTGTGGACCTAGTGATAGACTGTGGACCTAGTGATAGACTGTGGGCCTAGTTATAGACTGTGGACCTAGTGATAGACTGTGGACCTAGTGATAGATTGTGGACCTGGTGATAGACTGTGGGCCTAGTGATAGACTGTGGACCTAGTGATAGACTGTGGACCTAGTGATAGACTGTGGACCTAGTGATAGACTGTGGACCTAGTGATAGACTGTGGACCTAGTAATAGACTGTGGGCCTAGTGATAGACTGTGGACCTAGTGATAGACTGTGGACCTAGTGATAGACTGTGGACCTAGTGATAGACTGTGGACCTTGTGATAGACTGTGGACCTAGTGATAGACTGTGGGCCTAGTGATAGACTGTGGACCTAGTGATAGACTGTGGACCTAGTGATAGATTGTGGACCTAGTGATAGACTGTGGGCCTAGTGATAGACTGTGGGCCTAGTGATAGACTGTGGACCTAGTGATAGACTGTGGACCTAGTGATAGACTGTGGACCTAGTGATAGACTGTGGACCTAGTGATAGATTGTGGACCTAGAGATAGACTGTGGGCCTAGTGATAGACTGTGGACCTAGTGATAGACTGTGGACCTAGTGATAGACTGTGGACCTAGTGATAGTTTGTGGACCTAGTGATAGACTGTGGGCCTAGTGATAGACTGTGGACCTAGTGATAGACTGTGGACCTAGTGATAGACTGTGGACCTAGTGATAGACTGTGGGCCTAGTGATAGACTGTGGACCTAGTGATAGACTGTGGACCTAGTGTTAGACTGTGGACCTAGTGATAGATTGTGGACCTAGTGATAGACTGTGGGCCTAGTGATAGACGGTGGACCTAGTGATAGACTGTGGACCTAGTGATAGACTGTGGACCTAGTGATAGACTGTGGACCTAGTGATAGACTGTGGACATACTGATAGACTGTGGACCTAGTGATAGACTGTGGACCTAGTGATAGACTGTGGACCTAGTGATAGACTGTGGACCTAGTGATAGACTGTGGACCTAGTGATAGACTGTGGACCTAGTGATAAACTGTGGACCTTGTCCTATGCTACACTATGGTTGTATCCCTGAGCTCTAATCAATAAATCAATACATTTAAAATGTAATTGATCAACTGATTATTTGTTTTCAAAGAATTTAATTTATATAATAATTTCATATTTTATCTATATTTTTTTCTTATTTAAATATGACCGTACATAATTAAAATCCTGGTTATCACTATACTTACAATTATAATTACAAAAACAATATTAAAGGATATGTAGGCATCCTATTACTTAAAATAATTTTAAAATATATTTAATTAAAAAATATATGCTTGCTCCAAAACGTAGCTTGTGGTTTCATAATAATGAATAATATATAATAATATATATATATATTATATATATATATATATATATATATATATATATATATATATATATATATATATATATATAAATATATATATAAATATATAGCACGTGACCTGTCATGCAGGGAGCGTGGTGGTCACTCGCAAATCACGCTGTGGTCCTGAGTTCCAATATCAGTGGCGTCATCCAATCACTTCAGCTGTACAATCAATTCAAATGTTCTCATGGCAACGTTTAGTTTACTGTTTGATGTGGATGGAGACTGTAGGAGCTACACTCTGGTGTTGTCTGGTGTAAACACGAAACGTATTGGCTTGTTGGGAAATGGAGAAATGTTGTAGTGGAATGTGGCACCTCTCGACTCTGGTGTCACGTCAATCGACAATTTCTGTAGAATCTGCCAGAAATGTTTAAAAACATGTAAACGATTCATGCTATTTCTTGATTACTGTTTGAATAGCTATGTTAGTCGTGTTTAAAATATTAACAAACGTGACCGAATAAATATATATTGAGATTTTTCGTTTCATTAGAAATTTCTTGTTCAATTTTTATTTCATTATTTAGAAGAAAATTCAAACTATCTTTGAGTCTCTTTTTTTTCTTATTTCAAATGATGTAAATGTGGGTGTTTATTTCTTGCTTAACTTACCGTTGAATCTTAACTTACCGTTGAATCTCTTTTACATAACATCGAATGGAATAAAATATCTCTGTTATTACCTTTGCTGTAGTCAAGTGTAATTCCTGTAGAGCAAAACGCTGGCCAATACACATTCTGGGGCCATGGCCAAAAGGCAGCAGAGCCATGTTGGGTATCGACTGTTGAGTTCGGCCATCTTGAGATCTGAGCCATCTCTCGGGAAGAAACTTGTCAGCATCTTGGAAATATAGACGGCAAGCGGTGGGGTTTCCGAACAGGATGGGTACCTGGATAAAACATACATATATATATGTTTACAACTCATGTTATATTAGAGAAATATAATATAAAAAATATTATACTTTTTCTAAGTAATTAAGGTTGGAGTTTGATCCGTAACAAATGTTGAATGTTAAAAAGATGTTACTTTGTCCCAATTTTTTAATGTCTATTCTACGCATTTCTCTGTATTTTAAATAATGTAAACGTTTATAAATTCTAATACACTGCATCACTTTAATTATGTCATATGCTTTTATATAAAGACTACTTATAAAAAAATCCGTGTTAGTGGAAGTTTATTAATTAAATAATTTTGTTTGGTATAATTCGGATATATGTACATTATTTAAAGTAGGTTTACAAGTGTACCTGAAATATTGAAATTGTTGCCTATATTTTCTTAAGGCATACGAACTATATTATAGATTCGTAATATATGTAAGCATAAATGTAAGTATGAGTATATATATTTAAAAGATAAACGGTTTCCTTACCCCAGCAGGTATACGAAAACCACTTAACACTACATCTGTTGGTAAAACCCTCATTGATCCTAGCGATGTTGGGTAGTTGATTCTATGGGTGAAACAAACATTTTTAACTTTCAATTATGTTTGGGTACATGATTCTATGGGTGAAACAAACATTTTTAACTGTCAATTATGTTTGGGTACATGATTCTATGGATGAAACAAACGTTTTTAACTGTCAATTATGTTTGGGTACATGATTCTATGGGTCAAACTAACATTAACATGTAATTATTATGTTCGGTGATGCAGTATATGTAACAAACAAAGTGAAAGAGATCAATATGTTCAGCATATTGAAACACATATGACGTATTACCTAAACGATTCTTTCAGACAGGCCTTCAGGTAATGCATTTCTTTCAGGTGCTCGGCTGTGATCATTTTATTTTGGCCCACGACATTGTGAATTTCTTCCCTCAGTACTTTCTGTTTCTCTGGGTGGCTGGCTAGGTTGTACAGGAACACCAACAAATTCCTGGCAATCTGAAAAACACGTCAAATGTAAAAAAAAAAATATCTCTAGCCAACTAAAACACGTGTCAGATGTACATAAAAATATTTCTAGCCTTCTGAAACACTCGTTAGCATTAAATAAATATATTTCCAGCCACCTGAAAGAGATTTTAGCTGTCAATAATATTTTTGGAGAACGAAAGCAAAATTTTATACTGTACAAAAACACCAACCCTCCTTCCAAGCCAAGTTTTATTAATTACCGGTTTCGCTTCATATGTCTTTTAAAATTGCTAATGTAATCGAACATTTAAATGGAGTACAAGACAAACTTACCGCGTCTGTTGAAGAGCTGTAGAGAGCCTCTAAGATTGCACAAATGTCTTCTTCGGTCACGTCTTTCCCAGAGACAAGGGAGAGCAACAGGTTTGATTCATCGTTTGGTGCGGTTCCTTCCCTTGATTTCTGTTCGTTGATAGCGTAGGCTTGTTTGATGTGTTGCTTCGTTTGTCTGGGAGTAAGAAAGATTAATACACAGATTAACGTGTGTCTGAGGATTAAATGTACTACACACATATTAACAAATGTCTGGGGGTAAGAAAATTTAACACACGGATTAACATGTGTCGGGTGTTAAGAGAGATTACACGCGGATTAAGGTGAGTCTGGGGATCATAAAAGTTAACACATGGATTAACGCGTCTGATGGTCAGAAACACTAACACACGGGTTAACGTGTGTCTAAAGATAGAAGCCACAACACACACAATTCTAGTGTAAGCTAATACTGGATCTAAACGAGTATGTTGATGCAAATGTCTGTTGTACTACTAAACCGTCGAAGCTATTTTTAAACTACAGTTTTGTCAGCTGTAATAAAACTTAGGCCGTGACACAGCTATTTTTAGACAATAACATCCCACACAGCCGTTATTAAATTAAAGCTGGTCAGACAGCTGTTATTAAATTAAAGCTGGTCAGACAGCTGTTATTAAATTAAGCTGTTCAGCCAGCTGTTATTAAATTAAGCTGTTCAGCCAGCTGTTATTAAATTAAGCTGTTCAGACAGCTGTTATTAAATTAAGCTGGTCAAACAGGCGTTATTAAATTAAGCTGTTCAGACAGCCGTTATTAAATTAAGCTGTTCAGACAGCCGTTATTAAATTAAAGCTGTTCAGACAGCCGTTATTAATTAAAGCTGTTCAGACAGCTGTTATTAAATTAAAGCTGTTCAGACAGCTGTTATTAAATTAAAGCTGTTCAGACAGCTGTTATTAAATTAAGCTGGTCACACAGCTGTTATTAAATTAAAGCTGTTCAGACAGCTGTTATTAAATTAAAGCTGTTCACACAGCTGTTATTAAATTAAGCTAGTCAAACAGCTGTTAATAAATTAAGCTGTTCAGACAGGTATTAAAATTAAGCTGTAACTGCAAGTGGGGGGGGTGTTTGTCTAAAATGTTCGTCCTTTTAAAATTTAAACTTGATTATTTTAATTCATTGTGTAGTGAATAGACAATTAAATGTATACAATTTCAGCTATAAGGTCTTTATTATAGACTATACTGAGTATATTGTAGACCACATTGTGTGGTTTAGACGTGACTAAATATGCTATAGAAATAACTTTGTATGCTGTAGACAATATTTGTAGACCACATTTTGTGTTTTGGACGTTACTAAATATGCTATAGAAATAACTTTGTATGCTTATATTGTAGACCACATTTTGTGTTTTGGACGTTACCAAATATGGTATAGAAATAACTTTGTATGCTTATATTGTAGACCACATTTTGTGTTTTTGGACGTTACTAAATATGGTATAGAAATAACTTTGTATGCTTATATTGTAGACCACATTTTGTGTTTTTGGACGTTACTAAATATGGTATAGAAATAACTTTGTATGCTTATATTGTAGACCACATTTTGTGTTTTTGGACGTTACTAAATATGCTATAGACATAACTTTGTATGCTGTAGACAATATTAAGTATGCTGTAGACCATGCTGTATAAGTTGTAGATTTTACGTTATACGCTGTAGACTCAACTCTATAAGCTGTAAACATTATGATGCATGATGTGTATGCTGTAGTATATGCTGCGTATGCTGTAGAAGATACTTTGTATGCTGTAGACTACTTTGTAAACTGCAAACATTAGAGTGTATGCTGTAGGGTATGCTGTGTATGCTGTACCATATAAGAGCGTATTCTGTCCACTAACACTACCCACCTCTTGATAACATTGTAGGCCCGTTCAAAAGCTCTGTATGTTTTATTCCTGTACACCGCGTGAAAGACAGACTCGCCAACAAAAACTTTGTGAAGACACCGGAACAATTCTTTAGAAGCTTCTAGAAACTCCAAGGCTTCCGGGTCCTGGACAGCCCCCCTGTTCATAAAGCCTAGCCTAGCATTGAAGGCCACAACTCCTATACCTAAAAAAAAATTAAACGTTGGTTATTTAAACATCAGTATACATTTGTAGTACATTGACCGATCCAGCTTTCTGATTTAACGATGTTTATAATTCTGTTACTACGCAACTAAAAGCTACACAAAACATGAGCCGGAAAAAAAGAATTTAAGTGATCTAAATGTTTGCCATTAGTCGAGTGCTTTCGTCTGGTAAGTTGATTTGATGTGCTCTGGTCGATACATTTTAAATGTGAGTGTTCAGATAATCAATGTGTACATAAGAAATGAAAGATTTCCTTTACTTTTTCTCTGCTAAAATACTTTTACAGAATGGTTTTTTATTGTTATTTACAATTTTAATCTTTAGTACATAGCGTCTGGAGTTAGGGTTGATTTAACTTGAAAAACATCAGGCTAAATCTGGATTTTTATTCCTTCACAAGAGTGTAGGGAAGGTTGAAGAATGGGTAGGGAGACAGGACCTTCTGACGTCATTATCCTTAGTCTAGTCAGCGAACTCTTGCTGGTGAAAGTTTTGTCTTAAAACTGAATCTAAATTAACTCTACATATTAAATTAGCATTATTAGCAGCCTTTTTCGGTAAGCAAATAGGTTTTAGATATTAGAAAACTTAGAACAACTGGAAATCTAAAAAAAGTGGTAAAGCTTTATTTTAATTTTTTTTTTTTATATTCTTGTACTCATAATTCGTACCCAAATTAACCTTTGTATACGCCGTTCAAACAAAAATAAGAAATGTTTGTTTTAAAAGTTGTCGCACACACATATATACACCAAATTTAGACGAATGCTAATTTTACAACAAAAATATTGATAGTATAGTTCGCTTTCATACAGCCAGTAAACTTGGAATAGTGCAGACCACACTACCCCTTCCTATGTCAAGGTCTCAGAAACAGGTGAACTCTACTTCACTTGCCCCATGGACAGTTCGATAATGGAATTTTACTACTACATACAGGCAACAAACGGAAGCATGTAATGAGCTGTCACTGACTAGATCTTGGATATTTTAAACTCGAACAATGGTTGCCGTTCTGCGGTGGTGCCGCGTCGTTAAAAATGTCCTAATCCACCATACAGAAAGTCCACTCATTCATCAAATAAACAATTAGTCTTATTAGGTCTGGCACAGTTAGCAACGACAACCCCTGCCAAGAGACAGAGCTATTCGGGGAGAAAGAAAAAAGACAGGCGGAAGAAATGGAGCTTAATTAGGGCACTTCGTTTACCAATTATTGAAGACAATTTGAAATAAGGCAGAATAACTATATCATATTGCAAAAATAATGTATTTCTAAAAATTGTTACAATTATCTAAACGTTTGACGAAGCTAAGTTTTGACATCTTTTTATTTATTTCACTTTATGTTTTACAATAATCTATTACATAATATAAGGGGCTTACTTTCTTCAAATTATATTCTAAATAAGTTTCATCAGAGGTACATACTGAGAAAAGAGTGATTTAGTTTGTCATATTTTCGGCGTTGATGAATGTTAAGATCAGTATTTTTAACACACTAAAACTAGGGAAAGACAATCGTACAAGATTATATAGATGAATGAAAAGGAAATTACTCTCCGAGGGAAAAGAGACAATACTCGATTACCTCCCCTAACCAAGGGAACTTACTCTCTAAAGCATAGAAGACCCATAGACGATTATCTCCATCAACTAAAGGTAACTTTAAACATAAAATATAAACTCACTTTCTGAAGAGTAGCGGAACAACAAATCCTCCAGTTGCGGCCCCTCCAGAGACTCGGTGCTCATGACGTCAACAAGCTCATCAGCGATGACGTTGTGTTGAGGGAGGTAATGTTCGGCCGAGTCTGCTTTCATCAACCTCTTGTTGGCGGGGGTTCTCAGAGCGCTCCACTCCTCCCCATTCCTGTGTACATGCAGGTCAATATATTTTAGTCATATGCATTCATGCTTGTTTAACATTTTGAGACGAATTAATTGACCTGTATTATTAACATGTTTAAACATAAACGACGGCCTATGTTAGGTAAGCTTCTGCGGTAATGTCTGCAATTGTATGAATTAGGCTGTCGCAGGGACTTTTAATGAATAAAAGCAGGGGGGGGGGGGCGCAATTCTATAGCTGATTAGCAGCACTTCATTACTTAATGCCAAAACAAAATGAGTCAATTAGTTTCACCCTGAATATAATATAAAATCTGTTCTTTATATTCACACAAATACACTTATAGCAACTCTACCCGGGACAAATGGTGCGGTATGAGTACTGACATGGAAATATTGTTCGCTTGTGTTCTAAATTAAAACATTTAATGCTTCAATTAGTTCAGTTCAAAATGCAAAAATGAACGTTAATAATAAAAAGAGTAGTTAACATTTGAATCTATTTAAAATATACCTCAAGAAAAAAAATGTGGAGATGATGTGGTTGTATGGTAGAGCGCACGACTGCTAACCAGATGTTGGGACCACGGCAATGTTCCCTCTAAGCTGCGCGGTTGAGCGGCCGCGCAGTAGTTTTGAGCTGCCGCGCAGTGATTTTGTAAAATAAATATATCCCTGTATAAGACTTTTAGAACACCGTGCACAGAAAATACATTTTGCACACTAATTTTTCCCCCTTAGAGGGAACATTGGACCACGGACTTAAGACCGTAGGACAAGCATGACATGAGTACACCCAGCTATGAGGTGTGCATCACCTGTCTCAAGCAACCTTCACTCTAAACTGCATGGTTGCGCGGCCGCGCAGTAGTTTTGAATTCACCGTGGTGTCATTTTGTAACATACACATTTCCTTCTATAGCACTTTACAACACAGCCCACACTAAATACTAGTTGCATAAAAGCGTTTTCCCGTAAGGGAGACGATGGTCTCAACTTAGGGAAAGTACCCGCTGCTGAGCTTACACCTAACTACACCATCCTCCTACAGGCCGATGTCACAGAAACTGATTGACTCTACTTCACCTACTCCACTGATCTTTAAAAAGAATCTTTAAAAAATGAAAACCTAACTCACAGGTTGCTGAGGTTGTCCTTGTAGCCGTTCCGTTTGGCGTAGACAGTGAGCAGGTCGACGGAGGGTCGGAGGGGGACACGCCCCTCGTTTCTGTAGACCGTCTCTATGTCCTTAGGGTCGCTGGTCACCACACACACTCGACCAATCCGCAGCTTGACCAGTGGACCGTAGCGGAGAAACAGCGAATGGAAAAACTGGTTGCTCGTGGTTGGCGTGAACTGGGCTGGGGAGGGAGGGTTGGTGTCAATCAATGTGAGTGTAAGGGTTGGTTTATGCCAGAATTAGTGGCTGAGATTTTCGAAAAGTGGCCTCTGTACGTTACACACTTCAAACTGCACTAATGACGAAACAATAATGCTTGTATACAAATATAGATATATATATATACACACACACATATATACATATATATATATATATATATATATATATATATATATATATATATATATATATATATATATATATATATATATATATATATATATATATGTGTGTGTGTGTGTATGTGTATATATATATTTATATATATATATTTACCAATTTACCTATAAAACCACAAAAATTGGTTGGTTTTATAAATTTAACCATTCAGGTTAATATGTCCTTATAAATGCAGCTATGCAAAAAATAACGGTTTTACATATGTAAATGTATGTAACGATTAGATCAAAATAGGTTGTTTATATAAATAAAACTATAGCGATTAATGGCCTTATAAATGTAGCTAACAAAAACGATTACCTATATGCAATTATAGATAACGATTAGATTGGTTGGTTTTATAAATGTAACTATACAGATTAATGGAATTATAAATGTAATTACACCAAAAACGGTTGTATATGTGTAAGTCTAGATTATGATTCGATCAATATAGGCCAACATGCAAGGAATTGCAACACAACCTACTCTCTCAAAAAATGTTGTGTGTGGGTTGTAACTTGTATCTGTCTAGCTTGTAGGCTATCGACCAAGGTACAGATAGATGCAACACAACCGACTATCTGAAAAATGTAGTGTGGGGGTTGTATCCGTCTAGCTTGTAGGACATTGACCCGCGACTATTGATATACACTGGTAGAAGGGAAGCTAAATATAGCAGGCCAGTCGAGCGGCTCTATGTTATCGGGTTATTGAACTATCGATTGAAAGGTTGCCAGACACCCAGGTTCTGCTGGGTTCTGATGTCGTTGATTCCACGCTTGTGATTGTGTTAAGATGGGTCAGGTTACAGCCAGAAGAGATTTCTAATTAGATTATAAGGTAACATAAAAATACAAAAACACGTGCAGACAATACAGGTGAAAGATAGTAGCCATACAAATACATGCAGACAATACAGGTGAATGATAGTAGCCATACAAATAGATACAGACAATACAGGTGAATGATAGTAGCCATACAAATACATACAGACAATACAGGTGAATGACAGTAGCCATACAAATAGATACAGACAATACAGGTGAATGATAGTAGCCATACAAATACATACAGACAATACAGGTGAATGACAGTAGCCATACAGACAATACAGGTGAATGACAGTAGCCATACAAATAGATACAGACAATACAGGTGAATGATAGTAGCCATACAAATACATACAGACAATACAGGTAAATGACAGTAGCGATACAAATACATACAGACAATAGAGTTGAATGACATAAGACAAGGGCTATTTCAGTTGGTGTCAACATCTTGTTGATACACTGATGTGGTTAGAATATACCAGTAATGTATATGTGACTATTACAAGACACCACACACATATTTATGTTACAATCTGCCCGTAATATATCGTAACATATTCAGGTACATAAAGAGAAGGCTCACGTTGAAGATTTACTTATATGAAGATTGGGAAACTTTAAAGTTATACAATGTATACAGAGTCGAATAAGATTCACTAATTAAAAGGGTCACATTCAGAAATAGTCACTAACAAAAACAAGCTAAAGAGATACTTTCAAAAATGAATTAATAGCAAAAAAGGGTACCTCACAAATAGGCTAATCATAAAATAGTCACAAATAGAGTCATTCAAAACAGAGTCACTAACGAAAAGAGTCACTCGTAAAAAGTCACTCATAAAAACTTACTAAAACCCCAGTTCAAACAATGAACGGAGTCAATCCCGCTGAAGAGGAGTCGGTAATCACTTAAGTCTGGGGTAGATTAAAGCCGTTAGGTCTGTATGGTGTGTGTCAGGTTGCATTGTTCAACTGTTCTAAATGGTTTCAAAACCTTTTGTTCTGTCTCAACACAAACAAAAACAAAAAAAACTCAAGAGGTGTATAGACACAAGACGTCATCAAAAAGAAGTTTATAGACACAAGACGTCATCAACAAGAGGTTCATAGACACAAGATGTCTCAGTTACAGGTAAACGTCGACAACAGGTGGAGAAAGTCACGTGGCAACAATAGACCCTCACACGTCGACGTCCAGCAGACAGAGTTAGCTCCCTGCTGCTGGCCGCTATTCCAGGTGAAGATTGGGGGACAATCGGACAGATCACTTTACGTCTAGACAAAAACTGGACATACCACTTTATGTCTGGACAAAAACTGGACATACCACTTTATGTCTGGACAAAAACTGGACATACCACTTTACGTCTGGACAAAAACTGGACATACCACTTTACGTCTGGACAAAAACTGGACATAGCACTTTACGTCTGGACAAAAACTGGACATAGCACTTTACGTCTGGACAAAAACTGGACATACCACTTTACGTCTGGACAAAAACTGGGCATATCATTTTACGTCTGGACAAAAACTGGACATAGCACTTTACGTCTGGACAAAAACTGGACATACCACTTTACGTCTGGACAAAAACTGGACACATCAGTTTACTTTTTAATCATTCGTGGGGGGGGGGGTGTGGGGGGGGGGGGCGGGGGGGGGGGGGAGATGAAGCAAATATGTTCGTATTTTCATCTTATTAAAGCACGACAATACGCCGTTCTAACGAGCACACGGCCATGTAAACAAAAGAGAACTGAAATACTTGAAGTAAAATAGACAAAATAAACTGACTCAAATGTTTGATCTAAATCTTATTAAATGACTAAACTAAACTAAAACTTACTAAAAAGCTTGAGCTAAACGAAAACTTATTTAAGGAATGGTTCTAAACTAAAACTTCTGAAGGGCTTGAGCTTAAATTAAACTTATTAAATGGATTGAGGAAACTAAAACTTACTAACGAAATTGAGCTAAACTAAACTTTACTAAAGGGATGGAGCTAAACTAAAATTACTAAAGAGCTTGAGCTAAACTAAAACTTACTAAATGGCTTGAGCTAAACTAAAACTTACTAAATGGCTTGAGCTTAACTAAAACTTACTAAAGAGCTTGAGCTAAACTAAAACTTACTAAATGGCTTGAGCTAAACTAAAACTTACTAAATGGCTTGAGCTAAACTAAAACTTACTAAAGAGCTTGAGCTAAACTCAAACTTACTAAAGAGCTTGAGCTAAACCAAAACTTACAAAATGGCTTGAAGTGAAATAGAGTGCCGATGTACGGGATTTGGTAGATCCCCCTGGGGCCGGGCACGTCCTCAAAAGGTTTGGCCTCCACCCCGTCTGCTACAACATTACCACATGTGGATGCTGCTCTCACGCTGGTGTTCACCCACTGTCTGACCCACTGCCTGACCGACTGTCTCACCGACTGTCTCACCGACTGTCTCACCGACTGTCTCACCGACTGTCTGACCAATCGCCTCAGCACCATTTTATGCCTTCATCCGGTGGCGCAAGAAAAGTTAACTCTGTCAGTGACTGGCAAGAAAAGTTAACTCTGTCAGTTGGTGTTATAACTTTACGCCTGACTGCCCTCCACTGGTCGCTCGTTATTTACTGGCTAGTCTGAAAGCAAAGAGTGAAACAGGTATTATTGTGTGATTAAATTTACAATGTTTACTTCACTGAAAAAAATGTGAATCAATGCATATTGCATAAATAACTGATAAACATAAAACAGCATGTACACACGAATAAATAAACTAAATACGATTTTTAAAAATATAAATACAAACGCATTCGAATTAACATTTGCCTCTAATAAAACACGCAATAAACATATAGGCTAAACCTAAAAATACGCAAACTAACACATAACTAAAAAAAAACCTCACATATGAATAATCTTTTTTATAAGCATAACGATTACAAATAACATTCATTTTGAATAAAATTCATTCAAATTAATAATAAGTAGACCCCTACACATAAATACATAGCTTACAGGAAATATTCTACGAACAAAAACTGTAACGACCAAGATACTAACTTATGGTTAAAATGTGTCTCAAGTACACATGTAAGTTACATTTTTTTAATCCATAGATTTCAGGATTACTTGTATGCTATCGATTAAACAAATAACCGAACAGGCTACATATCGATCACAGTACACCATCCATACAACAGCATATCTAACACGGCATGGGACAAACTGAGTGCCACTGTTCCAAAGATAAATTTTACTCGTCAAGAAAACCTGGCTAGTTCTGTCAAATACACATTGGCGTACTTTAGCTATAAATAACCCGCTACACCACTCTCTCTTATATGAATGTATATATATATATATATATATATATATATATATATATATATATATATATATATATATATATATATATATATATATACACACATTCATATATATCGCCCTACTTATAAACCATACAGATATATAAATATATAGTTAAGTATATACATATAAATGTATATATATGTAAATAAATATATATATATATATAAATATATATATATATATATATATATATATATATATATATATATATATATATATATATATATATATATATATATATGTCCTTTTATTTATTTATTTATGTCTCTTTATATATAGAAAAAACGTCAATGTAAAAATGTCTAATTAAAACTTGCCTGTAGCCCCAGAGTGTAGTGAAATCAATAAAATAAAAAAAAAAAACAACAACGTAATGAATCAATAGAGCCGGTGACCACACAACCACCGTGGAGAGATTAGCTTGACGGTGTGACGAAATATGACAGGAAATTAGGTGGCCCGTTGCAAGGGGAATTCACCAATGGGAGACCTTTTTAACTAGGTCAAGGTCAACGGTGTAACACATTGCCTTCTTCTACGGTCACTGACTTCTCTCTGCATATATCCAGTATCCTGGATTAAGTTTACATTCGGTTATCAGGTAATTATGTTTAGATATAACGATATATATATATAAATATATATATCAATATAAATATATATATATATATATATATATATATATATATATATATATATATATATATATATATATATATATATATATATATACACGTACATACATACATACAAACATTATAAACAACTGTTTTTTCTTACCAAGTTTGGGACTATGCCATAATTCAAACATAATGTTTTAAGCACACAGTTCTTCTAATGATATCTTGAAGTACTTATGATTTCATTACAGTATGAGAGAGGCTGTAAATCTATACACAGCGAATGAACGAGCTGTTGGGTCGCTGAATGTTAGGATGTTTGTTCATGAAGGGCGGAGTAGATTTATGCACTACCGGTGGTTGCATTTTTAAAAAGTAGGGACCTAGTTCGTCATTTGTGGAGTAGGGAGTTACGTGACTTTGGCGTATGGGATGTGTTTGGTGTTGGTTTAATGGCTAAATGGGCCTACACGAGATGGTATCAACTGGCCTACACGAGATGGTATCAACTGGCCTACACGAGATGGTATCAACTGGCCTACACGAGATGGTATCAACTGGCCTACACGAGATGGTATCAACTGGCCTACACGAGATGGTATCAACTGGCCTACACGAGATGGTATCAACTGGCCTACACGAGATGGTATCAACTGGCCTACACGAGATGGTATCAACTGGCCTACACGAGATGGTATCAACTGGCCTACACGAGATGGTATCAACTGGCCTACACGAGATGGTATCAACTGGCCTACACGAGATGGTATCAACTGGCCTACACGAGATGGTATCAATAGGCCTACACGAGATGGTATCAACTGGCCTACACGAGATGGTATCAACTGGCCTACACGAGATGGTATCAACTGGCCTACACGAGATGGTATCAACTGGCCTACACGAGATGGTGTCAACTGGCCTACACGAGATGGTATCAACTGGCCTACACGAGATGGTATCAACTGGCCTACACGAGATGGTATCAACTGGCCTACACGAGATGGTATCAACTGGCCTACACGAGATGGTATCAATTGGCCTACACGAGATGGTATCAACTGGCCTACACGAGATGGTATCAACTGGCCTACACGAGATGGTATCAACTGGCCTACACGAGATGGTATCAACTGGCCTACACGAGATGGTATCAACTGGCCTACACGAGATGGTATCAACTGGCCTACACGAGATGGTGTCAACTGGCCTACACGAGATGGTATCAACTGGCCTACACGAGATGGTATCAACTGGCCTACACGAGATGGTATCAACTGGCCTACACGAGATGCTGTCAACTGGCCTACAGGAGATGGTATCAACTCGGCTACATCTGAAAGATGGTATCAACTGGCCTACACGAGATGGTATCAACTGGCCTACACGAGATGGTATCAACTGGCCTACACGAGATGGTATCAACTGGCCTACACGAGATGGTATCAACTGGCCTACACGAGATGGTATCAACTGGCCTACACGAGATGGTATCAACAGGCCTACACGAGATGGTATCAATTGGCCTACACGAGATGGTATCAACTGGCCTACACGAGATGGTATCAACTGGCCTACACGAGATGGTATCAACTGGCCTACACGAGATGGTATCAACTGGCCTACACGAGATGGTATCAACTGGCCTACACGAGATGGTATCAACTGGCCTACACGAGATGGTATCAACTGGCCTACACGAGATGGTATCAACAGGCCTACACGAGATGGTATCAATTGGCCTACACGAGATGGTATCAACTGGCCTACACGAGATGGTATCAACTGGCCTACACGAGATGGTATCAACTGGCCTACACGAGATGGTATCAACTGGCCTACACGAGATGGTATCAACTGGCCTACACGAGATGGTATCAACTGGCCTACACGAGATGGTATCAACTGGCCTACACGAGATGGTATCAACTGGCCTACACGAGATGGTGTCAACTGGCCTACACGAGATGGTATCAACTGGCCTACACGAGATGGTATCAATTGGCCTACACGAGATGGTATCAACTGGCCTACACGAGATGGTATCAACTGGCCTACACGAGATGGTATCAACTGGCCTACACGAGATGGTATCAACTGGCCTACACGAGATGGTATCAACAGGCCTACACGAGATGGTATCAACTGGCCTACACGAGATGGTATCAACTGGCCTACACGAGATGGTATCAACTGGCCTACACGAGATGGTATCAACTGGCCTACACGAGATGGTATCAACTGGCCTACACGAGATGGTATCAACTGGCCTACACGAGATGGTATCAACTGGCCTACACGAGATGGTATCAATAGGCCTACACGAGATGGTATCAACTGGCCTACACGAGATGGTATCAACTGGCCTACACGAGATGGTATCAACTGGCCTACACGAGATGGTATCAACTGGCCTACACGAGATGGTATCAACTGGCCTACACGAGATGGTATCAACTGGCCTACACGAGATGGTATCAATAGGCCTACACGAGATGGTATCAACTGGCCTACACGAGATGGTATCAACTGGCCTACACGAGATGGTATCAATAGGCCTACACGAGATGGTATCAACAGGCCTACACGAGATGGTATCAACTGGCCTACACGAGATGGTATCAACTGGCCTACACGAGATGGTATCAATAGGCCTACACGAGATGGTATCAACTGGCCTACACGAGATGGTATCAACTGGCCTACACGAGATGGTATCAATAGGCCTACACGAGATGGTATCAATTGGCCTACACGAGATGGTATCAACTGGCCTACACGAGATGGTATCAACTGGCCTACACGAGATGGTATCAACTGGCCTACACGAGATGGTATCAACTGGCCTACACGAGATGGTATCAACTGGCCTACACGAGATGGTATCAACTGGCCTACACGAGATGGTATCAACTGGCCTACACGAGATGGTATCAACTGGCCTACACGAGATGGTATCAACTGGCCTACACGAGATGGTATCAACTGGCCTACACGAGATGGTATCAACTGGCCTACACGAGATGGTATCAATAGGCCTACACGAGATGGTATCAACTGGCCTACACGAGATGGTATCAATAGGCCTACACGAGATGGTATCAACTGGCCTACACGAGATGGTATCAACTGGCCTACACGAGATGGTATCAACTGGCCTACACGAGATGGTATCAATAGGCCTACACGAGATGGTATCAACTGGCCTACACGAGATGGTATCAACTGGCCTACACGAGATGGTATCAATAGGCCTACACGAGATGGTATCAACTGGCCTACACGAGATGGTATCAACTGGCCTACACGAGATGGTATCAACTGGCCTACACGAGATGGTATCAACTGGCCTACACGAGATGGTATCAACTGGCCTACACGAGATGGTATCAACTGGCCTACACGAGATGGTATCAACTGGCCTACACGAGATGGTATCAACTGGCCTACACGAGATGGTATCAACTGGCCTACACGAGATGGTATCAACTGGCCTACACGAGATGGTATCAACTGGGCTACATCTGAAAGATGGTATCAACTGGCCTACACGAGATGGTATCAACTGGGCTACATCTGAAAGATGGTATCAACTGGCCTACACGAGATGGTATCAACTGGGCTTCATCTGAAAGATGGTATTGTATGGCTAAGTATAACGACTTGATTTTAATAGGGCTAAATATACGACATGAGATAAATATGGCTAAATATACGAGATGGTATCAATATGGCTAAATATACGAGATGGTATCAATATGGCTAAATATACGAGATAATATCAATATGGCTAAATATACGAGATGGTATCAATATGGCTAAATATACTAGATGGTATCAATATGGCTAAATATACGAGATGATATCAATAGGGCTAAATATACGAGATGATATAAATATGGCTAAATATACGAGATGAGACTGAGTGGCCAAGTAGTAGAGCGCTAACTGCTAACCCCTAAGTCTCAAGTTCGGATCTCGTGCTTGAGCATATTGGACGACCCTGCGTCCACCCAGCTCTGATGCGCACCTGACTCACGTTAGGGAAAAGTAAAGGCGGCTGTGCATAGTGCTGACTACACTATCTCTCTGTATGCCGAGGTCATTGAAACAGACGAACTCTACTTCATCTGCTCAGGTGTCTTTGGTACGAAAGGGAAAAACTGATGGTGAATATTATCAATAAAGCTAAATATACAAGATTGCATGAATGTGGCTGAAGATACGAGGATAAATCAACATGGCTAAATACACGAGATGACTAAACCAGAGATAATAATTCGGAAACCATCAAAATTGTTAAAACTACAAAAAACGAGATAGACTGGAATCACAAGGGAAAGAGGAAGTAGGCCAGCCAAGGAATTCCTTGAGGGGGGACAGTAGAAGGTGAGGCAAGGGCTGCCAGGTTTATGTGGGTGCATAAAAAGAGCCGCTCAAAACCAAGTCTGATGGAGAGGCGTGGCTACAACCTCTTGCTACTAAGGGGCCACAAAAGAATAATTCAAGTCAAGTATTAAAAACGTTATCGCTAAACAAATGAGGAGACTATCGAAGACTATTACAATTTTTTAAAATTCTGTATTTCAATACATCGTAAGTCGTGTGTTTAAAGCCTTGTTGCCTGGGGCTGGTTACAACAGAACCGGTTTCAAGATGGCGGACGACAAGTTCGGCGTCTTTAGACACGCCTCGTTGATTTCTAACACTTCCTGATACAGGAATGTTTCCTGGAATCTTTCTTCAGCATACAAGAACATATAATCTTTTCTTAATATATATCGTTAACATCCTGTTATAAAATCTCTATATAAAAAGTGAATGTATCCTATCAAACGCTATAAACAAGCTAATTTAATCTATTACTTTATTGATTTATTTGTGTGTGGAAACGAACGGTAAAATACGTTTGTGACGTACCAGCTGACGATGGATGTTCTACCTCACTATCAAAAGTTCCGTGTCCTGCTAATCTCTTTTTTATTTCCCAACAGAAAATTTGAATGTGCATCGCCAGATGGCTTTAAGGTTTCTTTCTGTGGCTTTAGACCCACAACACAGCCAGGTATTAAAGGTGGATTGAAAAGTTGTGTGACTTCTTTGAAATATTTCTCTCAATACCTATAGGCCTACAACACAGACGGGATTAATGGAGATCGATGTTGCTTAAATGATTGGGATGAATGGAGCAGACCAAACGTATATATATATATATATATATATATATATATATATATATATATATATATATATATATATATATATATATATATATTTCAGGGGTCGGCAACCTGCGGCTCGCCAGCCGCATGCGGCTCTTTTGATATCAAGATGCGGCTCTCCAGCTCCTTGAACAAATACTAATAATCTTAATAAAAAAATAAAATATATGACATAAAAAAAAATGTTAGTGGCTCTTTAAAGCCAGGAAAATTTTTAAAATTGTAACTTTTGGCTCTTCCGCTTCAAAAGGTTGCCGACCCCTGATATATTTCAATATGATGTGTTAAGTCTATAGACGAATTGGTGTCACTCCCGTCATGGAGTAAACCTATGCCTAATGATGTATGCAACTTTAACAAGCTTTAAATGAATGCAAAAGCTGGTTTCCTCATTAAAAAGAGCTATATTTCATCCAAGTGTCATCCCTTGTCATAGGCGAGGGACGCACTCCTTGCCCCTCCCTGTTGCTGTACTGATTTGGATCAATCAAAATGACGCAATGTTTTAAGACAGATTTGTTTCATTCAGATAAATCTCTCTTTAACATGTAACGTAAGATTTAGGATTAACTCCTCTTTTCCTTTATAAGATCAAGTCTTCATTTATAATCATTACAAGGTTATTTATGATATGGCAGAAGTCTAGGGGCCTCTCTCTTTTCCACGTGTGGCCAACCTCTCTACAATGTGTGGCCTACCTCTCTACAATGTGTGGCCTACCTCTCTACAATGTGTGGCCAACCTCTCTATGTGGCCTACCTCTCTACAATGTGTGGCCTACCTCTCTACAATGTGTGGCCTACATCTCTACAATGTGTGGCCTACATCTCTACAATGTGTGGCCAACCTCTCTATGTGGCCTACCTCTCTACAATGTGTGGCCTACCTCTCTACAATGTGTGGCCTACCTCTCTACAATGTGTGGCCTACCTCTCTACAATGTGTGGCCTACCTCTCTACAATGTGTGGCCTACCTCTCTACAATGTGTGGCCTACCTCTCTACAATGTGTGGCCTACATCTCTACAATGTGTGGCCTACCTCTCTACAATGTGTGGCCAACCTCTCTATGTGGCCTACCTCTCTACAATGTGTGGCCTACATCTCTACAATGTGTGACCTACCTCTCTACAATGTGTGGCCTACATCTCTACAATGTGTGGCCAACCTCTCTATGTGGCCTACCTCTCTACAATGTGTGGCCTACCTCTCTACAATGTGTGGCCTACATCTCTACAATGTGTGGCCTACCTCTCTACAATGTGTGGCCTACCTCTCTACAATGTGTGGCCTACATCTCTACAATGTGTGGCCTACCTCTCTGCAATATGTGGCCTACCTCTCTTCAATGTGTGGCCAGCCACTCTACAATGTGTGGCCTACCTCTCTACAATGTGTGGCCTCACTGTATAAAATGTGTACCTTCACTATCATGGCCTACTCTGATTTACAATGTGCCTATTATAACAATCTTGTCATTCAAGAACATGTTAAAACCCAATGGATTTAGAACAGATATATTTAGAAAGTTGTTCTAGTTTAATCTCAACATCATTCTTCAGCTTAAATACGGGTTTTTATGTTTGAGTTGGAATCTTTGTACTAGTACAGAAGAAAACGATAGCTTTACTTGATTTAGTCATTAGTATTTTAAGACTGTCAGTTTCAGCATCAGCATGAAAAAAAAAAAACAGCAATCAATAGCAGTGGTAGGTCAGAGCGACATTGGTATGTTAAATGGTCAATACCTCTTTGTAAGATAGGTGTGTTGGTGTGTGTGAAAGTTATAAGGAAGGGTGTGTTAGTGTGGTGGATATAAGGAAGGGTGTTAGTATGGTGGATATAAGGAAGGGTGTTAGTATGGTGGATATAAGGAAGGGTGTTAGTATGGTGGATATAAGGAAGGGTGTTAGTGTGAGAGATATAAGGAAGGGTGTTAGTATGGTGTATATAAGGAAGGGTGTTAGTGTGAAAGTTATAATGGTTGTAAGGAGCAAAATAATATCTTTCAATAAACAATAAATAACAGAGGTTATATTTTTCGACGAATTGAATATGATAACGAGGTTTGATAGATCTTAGTGCCAAAGTCACAATATACAATCAAACACATCTGAAAGTGTTGCTGGTAAGCAAAAGGGTATTGTTTAGCCCTATGCAATCTGTAAACAAGTTGCTCTTTTTTAAGTTAGTTGATACTTCAAACACAGCCATAAAAATCGAATGTGTTGAAATACCAGTCGCTGAATTTGATATCGTCTAAAATGTTGAGTTTTCTTAAACCTAGATCCTGATATTTTGTTGTAAACGATAGACCTAGATGCTGACATTTTCGTGTAAAAGATAGACCTAGATGTTGACATTGTGATATTAGGTATAGCTACACTTTAGGTAGACTTTGATGAAATAAATATTACTATGTCGAAGTATATGCATAATATATATATATATATATATATATATATATATATATATATATATATATATATATATATATATATATATATATATATATATATATATATATATATATGTATGTATCACATGTGTGCAAACAGTTATGAACTACATACCTATTTAAGCCACTGTACCATACACTTCTTCAAGCAGACCGCTTGAGATGATAAATTCTTTAAAAAAAACAATGACTGGCGCTTTTATCAGTAGTACATCCAGGAGAACACGGCTAGGCTCCAGTTCTTGTGTGTGGAATACTGAAAGCGTAACCACAGTGGTCCTTACAATCTGACCAGCTGTGGTCCTTACAATCTGACCACAGTAGTCCTTAGAATCTGACCTCAGTGGTCCTAACAATCTGACCACAGTAGTCCTTACAATCTGACCCGCTGTGGTCCTTACAATCTGACCACAGTAGTCCTTACAATCTGACCTCAGTGGTCCTAACAATCTGACCTCAGTGGTCCTTACAATCTGACTCGCTGTGGTCCTTACAATCTGACCCGCTGTGGTCCTTACAATCTGACCACTGTGGTCCTTACAATCTGACCAGTTGCGTCATATTCTTGTGCTCAATTTTTAACCAACCGTGCGCACCACATTAGTGACCTCATCCAATAGTCAACAACTGTCTTGCTACAACTTACATGGACAGACTGTCTTGCTACAACTTACACGGACAGACTAATGTTGAAATATATTAGTTTTGTGTGAAAGCGAGGCTTGTATAGGTCTAGTAATTGCTTGAATGTGATGTTTTTTTCCAATCGAAACGTAAAAGACGAGTCTACACGGTCATGGACTGCTGCATTGATGAAACGATAAACTGTTAAATAATGCAATCACTAGGGCTGGGGGGATGGTGGCTGATGTAAAGCCATGTCTTGGGTGAGTGAGGAGGGGGCTGACGGATGTGTTTGACGTAAATCAATGTTTTGTTTTTCACTGTGGAGGGTGGGGGTGAATTTGAACTTAAGGAGGGGGGAGAAGCCGATTCTGGTTAAAGAATATTTTATGTTTATTATTTCTTATCATTCCATGAGGGGTAGTGCCCCACCCATCTAAAAGTAATGTCTGAAAGAAACTTTTGTTTGAAGTACGGTAATAGTTTTCCCCGTATAACTGCTAGCCTTTGCACTTATGTTTCCGTACATTAACTTAATACCTGCAGCGACAACTGCATCGATTTTCGAGTAGACGGAACAAGTTGAGATTCCCTGGGTATACTAGCTGCAGCAAAGCGTGCAGTGCTGGGCCGGCCGCCATCTTGTTCTGCCTCACGTCTGCCAGAGGGTAACGTCCTGTCAACCCGCGGTGCGCACTAATAATTTCACGTCCTGCCACATGTGACGGCCAGGGCAGGGGACGGAGGGTGGGGGGGGGTCAGGCTGACTTACTGTAACAGGACGAGTGCGGTAAAGTGTGTAAGAAAAAAAAACTTGAATTACAAACTATAAAACAAGAATAAAACAGTTCGTTAAATTAACCTTGATAAATTATGTTATAAGGGAAAGTTACACTGTGATCTATTTTTTAAAATAAAAACTTGGCAATTCACTATACTCAGCACACGGACCACCGTTATTAAACTCAAAACGATGTCTGCCGTCTGTCATTCTAACAATTACACATGTACCTCATGATATCACCGTGTGATACATGTAAGACTAAATCAATTCCACCGCATACGTATGTCGTGCCGGGAATATTGACATACATGCCTGAAATCTGCCAGCAGTTTTAAATGTTTCCTTCAATGAATTTACCATCGATCCATCTGTTGATCTAAGTTCAAAATCTCCTGATCAAATCCGTTTGCAGGGCCACGTCAACTGTAACATGAATGACGTGCAGCATCAGGCTTGAGTACGACAAATTCCCAACTCCCCTGTACGGCATACAACATCCAGCATGCATAACGTGCAGCATCATGAAAGTGGTTGACGTACGACAGATTCCCAACTCCCCCGTACGGCATGCAACATCCAGCATGCATAACGTGCAGCATCAGGCAAAAGTTTGACGCACGACAAATTCCCCATACAGCATGCACCCTGCACTCTAACTTGACCGACCTATGGAGTTCACGGTGACCTGACAACAAGGTAAAAGTCGGTTAACTTTCAAGTTCGGTCAAAATATGTTGGCATGGCTGAACACAGAAGGAATGTGTCTAGGTCAAAATGTCCTGCTCGTAAAAGGACATTAGGTATGTGTTTATGTCATGCCTGGTCCTAATAGGACACGCCAAGAATGTGTTTAGTTCGTGTGTCGTCAGGTCCTTATATGACACAAGTATTATATCTGATAATGTCCTATTCCTGACATAATATATGCTCTTAAATTCGAGTAGATCCTACACCAAACAAAGCAGGAACTGGTATTCCTCCAACACTGACCTACTTCAAATACTAAAAATGTCTACGTGCATTGTTTGTCATTAAATCGCCAGCATTTTTTTAAAGATTAATTTTGTTTTTTAACACGTTTTTAAAACGTTTTTCTTAACTCAGCTTCGCGTTTGTTTGTTTGCTTGGTTGTTTGGATGTTTGTTGTTAAAATTGACATCGAAAATTAGCCCACTTCTGATTGCTCTAGAGACCTGAAATTTGGCATGCATGCTACTTTCGCCTAACAATTTCAGATGCAATCATAAAAACTAGCAATTAGTGACCGTAATTAGCTTAATTTAATTACGCCCCAAGGACCATAAAATTGAGGACATGATTTCTAAAGATACCGACAAGACTGGAGGCCTATCGACACAGTTACTTCGGCCCCAATCGATGTGAGCGCGCTGGCCGTGATCGTATAGTGGTTAGTACTTCGCGTTGTGGCCGCGACAACCCAGGTTCGAATCCTGGTCGCTCAAGATTTTTAGTCCGTGTATTTATAAACACTTAGTCAAGTCATACTTAATCAAGTCATTAGATAAAGTAGAAAATAAACTATATAAAAAACTTTTTTAAAAACCACGTTTTTCATGTGTAGCAACGGACTAAAAAGGAGAAAATAAAATACTTAAAAAAAACTTTTTAAAAAACCACGTTTTTCTTGTGGACTAAAAAGTAGAAAATAAATTTTCATACATTTGATGACAAAAAACGTGGGTCGGGCAGATGGGTCGGGAAATTTGATGGTGAACGTACCCACGTTTTTTGTCATCAAATGTATGAAAATTTATTTTCTACTTTTTAGTCCACAAGAAAAACGTGGTTTTTTAAAAAGTTTTTTTAAAGTATTTTATTCTTAACTCAGCTTCGCGTTTGTTTGTTTGTTTGGTTGTTTGGATGTTTGTTGTTAAAATTGACATCGAAAATTAGCCCACTTCTGATTGCTCTAGAGACCTGAAATTTGGCATGCATGCTACTTTCGCCTAACAATTTCAGATGCAATCATAAAAACTAGCAATTAGTGACCGTAATTAGCTTAATTTAATTACGCCCCAAGGACCATAAAATTGAGGACATGATTTCTAAAGATACCGACAAGACTGGAGGCCTATTGACACAGTTACTTCGGCCCCAATCGATGTGAGCGCGCTGGCCGTGATCGTATAGTGGTTAGTACTTCGCGTTGTGGCCGCGACAACCCAGGTTCGAATCCTGGTCGCTCAAGATTTTTAGTCCGTGTATTTATAAACACTTTTTTAAAAACCACGTTTTTCATGTGTAGCAACGGACTAAAAAGGAGAAAATAAAATACTTAAAAAAAACTTTTTAAAAAACCACGTTTTTCTTGTGGACTAAAAAGTAGAAAATAAATTTTTCTTTTGTGCTTCCTCGAGCTGTGCAGGTTCTTGTGATGACTGACAAAAAACGTGGGTCGGGCAGATGGGTCGGGAAATTTGATGGTGAACGTACCCACGTTTTTTGTCAGTCATCACAAGAACCTGCACAGCTCGAGGAAGCACAAAAGAAAAAATTATTTTCTACTTTTTAGTCCACAAGAAAAACGTGGTTTTTTAAAAAGTTTTTTTTAAGTATTTTATTTCTATTCGTATTATAACTATATCAATAGCCATATATTACTAGTACCTATGCCCATACATAGTTTCATCTAGTATCAGAGTTAAAACTTCCGCTAACTAAACCAACCACCAATCTTATTGCATGTTAGCCGCTAACTAACCCAACCTTGTATGTTATCAGTGTTAAAACTGCCACTAACTAACCCAACCTTGTATGTTATCAGTGTTAAAACTGCCACTAACTAACCCAACCTTGTATGTTATCAGTGTTAAAACTGCCGCTAACTAACCCAACCTTGTATGTTATCAGTGTTAAAACTGCCGCTAACTAACCCAACCTTGTATGTTATCAGTGTTAAAACTGCCACTAACTAACCCAACCGTGTATGTTATCAGTGTTAAAAATGCCGCTAACTAACCCAACCTTGTATGTCATCAGTGTTAAAACTGCCACTAACCCAACCTTGTATGTTATCAGTCTTAAAATTGACGCTAACTAACCCAACCGTGTATGTTATCAGTGTTAAAACTGCCACTAACTAACCCAACCTTGTATGTCATCAGTGTTAAAACTGCCACTAACTAACCCAACCTTGTATGTCATCAGTGTTAAAAGTGCAACTAACTAACCCAACCTTGTATGTTATCAGTGTTGAAACTGCCACTAACTCAACCTTGTATGTTTTTCAGGTCAGCCCTAGCAGACGTGCGCAGTTTTTGCAGCAACAACACGGTCACGGTTCGCTGCACAAACATGACCTTGTTTCCCGCGTCCTCTACGGTCAAGTTTGTTGAACGGTGGGGGGGGGGGGTAGAATTGCGATAGATTTAAACTGTACAACAAAGTGGACCCACTTTAATATTAATTAAAACTAATTTATTATTCCTAGAAAAAGAAATTATGGTAAATCTTAAGACAAATTATGTGTCTGACTATCAATATAGCACTGACTTAACCTTCGTTAACCTAAGCCGTCACGCTCTAGATACGTTCTATTTTCAGTTTCAATTAACTGAATTTCATGTGAATGTAAAGCTTCTGTTAAGAACTGTTAAGTTACGCTACCTGAACGACTAAAAAGCTATTTGCGGTAACACAGTAGGCCTACACGCCATACACAGAGATGTTAGTGTGTAGTTGCAGTGGAAGCTGTTACCAAAAATAATATAATTATGTTTTATTGATAAATGCACCGCTGTGTGTAATTAAAGTCAATTAAAGCAGCTACTATATTGGTCAGACACATGGTCGGTTATAAAATCAAACAACACACTG